GCCTGGCCATCGCTCCGGCCCCGCCCTGGTCCGCCGCGCCCGAGGAGCCGCCGCGCCCGCCTCCAGGTCCGCCCGAGGAGCCGCCCGCCCGCCGGCCTCTGCCCCGGACCGGCGCCGGCCTCTGCCCCGGACCGGCTCCGCATCTCCGCCAGGGTCGCGCCGCCCTCTGCGTCGCCCCGCCATCTGCCCCGGACCGGCGCCAGGTCGGCCCTCTGCCCCGGTACAACGCCTAGATAGTTAGGAGCACCCTTTCCCTATGAATAGAAACAAACTATGGATGGTCTTTCAGTAATATATTGTGCTCAGACTTAAATTGTAAGTAATTTTGAACCAAACTACATGAATTTTAAGACCATGTTACCTCTTATATGGAATTGGATGGGGTCTGCTTCTGAATATTTGCTTTTTACCTACCTGATCTATATTGATTGTGCTGCTGTGCTTGATTGTGCTGCTGTATGTAGATGAATAACAGGCTCAAGGCATTTGTTTTTGCTGCTGCTGCACATTGGTTGTTGTGTGTCATGGCAATTGTTGTTCGGTCTAGGAAAAGAAAACGAGTTGCAAGAAGGGAAGGGATTACTTATGCACCAATATATGAAAGGGATAGGAAGAGAATGGAATACCTCAATGACAAAATCTGGAAGGATGACACAACTTGTGTAAACATGCTGAGAATGAACAAAGCACGTTTCTTTAGGTTTTGTAAGTTGTTTAGAGATCGTGGTTTACTTGAAGATACCGTTCATATGTGTGTTGAGGAGCAAGTGGCAATGTTTTTGCATACTGTGGGGCACAATGTTAGGAATAGAGTAATTGCAACCAATTTTGGTAGATCCGGAGAAACGGTCAGTCGTTATTTTAACAAAGTACTTCATGCTATTGGTGAGCTACGAGATGATTATATTAGGCCCCCTTCATTGGACACTCCAGCTAAAATTGAAGGAGACCCAAGGTGGTATCCATACTTTAAGGTGTGAAGCTCAACCTTATGTCATATTCTAAGTTTATTTTTTGCCAAACCTAATTGACCTAATCTTGACTTCTTTGAACATCACGTAGGATTGTATAGGAGCACTTGATGGTACACATATAAGAGCCACTATTTCAAAGGAAATGCAGCATGCTTTTCGTGGTAGATACAAGCATTGTACTCAAAATGTACTGGCAGCCGTAGATTTTGACCAAAAGTTCACCTATGTGTTGGCCGGATGGGAGGGGACAGCACATGACGCACTAGTTTTACGTGATGCTTTAACACGTGAGGGTGGCCTTCGTGTGCCACAAGGTAATACAAGAACCTATGTCTTGTCCATAAATTTGTTCATCAAAATTAATGGATCATTGAGATGTAACCTAACTATGCATCATATGTTAGGTAAATATTACCTAGTTGATGCTGGATATGGAGCCAAACCAGGATTTTTACCCCCTTTTCGGGGTGTACGATACCACTTGAATGAATGGGGGAGGAATCCGGTGCAAAATGAGAAGGAATTGTTCAACCGTAGGCACTGCTCATTGAGAATCATAGTAGAGCAAGCATTTGGAGCACTAAAAAGGAGATTCAAAGTACTTGATGATGCCTCTCCTTTTTTTCCTTATGAAACTCAAGTTGATATTGTTGTTGCTTGCTGCATCATTTATAATTGGGTGATTGAAGATGGGAGTGATGAATTCAATATACCAAGTGACAACGACGAGGACACCCAGCACACCACATATGCTGGGACAGCAAGTGAGAATGCCATTATGCTAGCTTTTAGGGAAGGCCTGGCTGCCCAAATGTGGGCAGATCGTCAAAGCCATGGAAACTAGTATTGGTCAATGTAATATGTGTTGTATTTTTTTTCTTGGACAATGTAATAATTGTATTTGAGGGCTGAAATTGTATTTGAGGACATATTTCTACAGATATTTGATTGCCACGTTGTTTGCTACTTTGTTGGCATTATTATTTGATGACATATATTGCATTGTTTATTTTGTAGGGGAATGGAAGCAGAGGGTAGTGCAGGGACTGGTGGACATGCTACTTGGACTTCAACTTGGTCAGCCTACATGCTCGAATACCTTGCCAATTTAGTGGTTAATGGCACCAAGACTTCATCCACCTTCAAGATGGTTCACTACAATGGGTGTGCAAAGGCTCTTCAAGAGAAATTTGGCATTGTGCGCAGTGGTGAGCAGGTTAAGAATCACCTTAAGACATGGCAAAAGAAGTTTCGTAAAATATGTGACCTTCGTGGTTTGAGTGCTGCTGGTTGGGATGAAGATACCTTCACTATAACTCTTGATGATGAGCACTACAACAATCATATTAAGGTATTTGCTGAATTATTAGTTCTCACATATAATAATCTAATAATAGTTGCTGAATTATTAGTTGTCACATAATAGTAGTTGCTAAAATTGTACATATATTGCAGGATCACAAGTCTGATGCTGATTTTCTAAACAAGCCTATTCAACACTTTGAGGAGATGCACACAATATTTGGAAGTACCATGGCTACAGGCAAGTTTGCAAAGGACTCGGGTGTGCCTCTAGGTACACAGGAAGACAGTACAGATGACTGGGACAATGAGGTGCAGAGGATGGAGGTACAGAGTGATAGGAATGCAAATGAAGACAACAATGCGGCAACTTCATCGGCTACCAAGGCCACCAATCCTAAGAAGAGGGACAAGGGCAAGAAGAGGGCCATGACTGACCAAGATCCATTGGTTGCTGCAATTAAATGGGGAAGTACCAAGTTAGCCAAGGCGATAAAGGAAGCGGGGAAACCTGACAATGATGTGCCGGATGATTTGTATGACAACTTGATGGCTATGAGTGGTAGTTTCAATTCGACTCACTTATCCTTCTACCATTCCTACTTGGTCCAACATCCTCACATAGCTAGAGCTTTCAACTCCTTGCCTTTTGAACATAAATTCAATTGGGTTGCAAAGCACATTGCTGACAACTACCCTGGGCAGTAAGGGTAAGTTGTAGTCATGGGATGGTTATTTTGTTAGTACCACATAGAACTTTATATTTGTGGTCTAAGTAAGCTAGTGTCTTGCTATGTGGAAGCCTTGAACTTGCTATATATTGTGTAAGGCTTGAACTTGCATCGTGCAAGCATCAGACTTGATATTAGTGTGTAATGTGCCTATGGATATGGCCTAAGACTTTTATTTGTAATATGGCCAAGACTTTTATATGTGCCTGTTATATTATTTTGTGTGCTGATCTTTGATGCATAGTGCAAGCATATGAAATATTGCCATGTGTTGCATAAATTGAGGAGGGTAACCTCACCATTTCAGTGCAAAGGTGACCATATGCAGGTTCTGTTTGAATCCATCCAACCAAACAGAAAATGGGATGGATCCAACCACATCTCAGTCCTCCAACCAAACAGAAGACGGATCGAACCCATTCTCGCAACCAAACAAATCAAGGGTTGAAGCCGTCCCCCAAAATATGGGTTGGAGCCACTCCAACCCACTGATCCCACAACCAAACAGACGGTAAAGTGGTATCCATCGTGGGATTTGGTGGTCTTGGCAAGACAACACTTGCAAACCAGGTGCATGCTAAAATATAGAATGAGTTTGACTGTACGGCATTCGTGTCAGTGTCTACAAGTCCTGACATGCCAAAGATTCTGAAGGACATACTATCTAGAGTTGGATATGGTGGCACGGAAATGGAAGATGACGTCCAAAAGCTTACTGAGATCATTAGAGCATCGCTCAAGAATAAGAGGTATACGTTTATCTGGGATTTATGATGATATATTTAACTGTGGAAATTTAATATTTTCTATTTCTCATTGACTTTCTCAAATATCTAGATGTTTCCATTGTCTAATAGCAATATGTGAACTTACCAAGGAAGCTTATCAGTAGCTATCTCTATCTTGCTTGTTTGTTGAGCAAGTCAATTTCATTCATTTTCAAATTGCCAACCATTATTCTGTTTCCAACAAAAAATCATTTAATAACAACACAGAATTAATTTTAGGAGTTCTTATTTTCATTTTTATCCACATAGATCTTTCTTTTTTATTTAACCAATTTATTGAAATTTTGTTTTCTTGTTTTTGTGGGAATGTTTTTTCTTAGATAATTTCCCTCTTGAGCTTAATGTTGTATGAAGTTGAAAAATTATTTACCAAGCATGATTCTGTTTCAAACAAAAAAAATCAATTAATAACATCACAGAATTACATTTTAGGAGTTCTTATTTTTATTCACATAGATCTTTCTTTTTTTCTTTAAAATTTAGATTGAGTTTTTAGTTTTTCACATGAATTTTACTGTGCCCAAAAATATATGTACTTTACATTGAAGTTACCTTGATTTAAGCATGAATCATAAACCAAAGCATCAACGAACAAGTGCTCATTCTCCTGTTTGTTTCCACGAGACCAAGTGACGTATTACTCATTTACTTTGTCATATTGTTTTTGTATTTAAAATGTTGTTACTTTGCTTGTATCTTTGGAAATGCCATGTGGGTTGGATAACAGACATCATGCAGACAACATTGACTTTGAAGTCACTTACTTTGCAGGTACCTTGTCATAATTGATGACTTATGGAGCACCAAGGATTGGCGCACTATTGAGTGTGCTTTTGTGGAAAATAATTTTGGCAGTAGAGTGACAACTACCACACGCAATCAAGATGTTGCTACAGCTTGTTGCTATCCAAGTCGAGGCCAAGTATTCTAGATGCAACCCCTTAATGAGCTTCAGTCAAGTAGGCTGTTTTTCAAAAGGTTATTTGGCACACAGGATGGTTGTCCCCAACAATTTAGAAAGATTTCAAATGACATGTTAAGAAAATGCAAAGGCGTACCATTGGCAATTACTAGCATCGCAAGCCTTTTGGCTAACCAAAGCATGCATGTCGAGATATGGGAGAAGATACATAATTCAATGGGTTCCGAGTTGGACACAAATCCTACACTGGAATGGATGAGGCATGTGCTAACTCTTAGCTACAATGACCTATCCCATGAGCTCAAGACATGCTTGCTATATCTTGGTGCATATCCTGAAGACTGTAATTTGGATTAATGTTTTGGTGAGAAAATGGATAGCCGAAGGATTTGTTAGGGAAAGGCATGGTTTAGATCTGGAGGAAGCTGCTGAAAATTGTTTGAACGAACTCATCAACAGAAGTATGATCGAACCATGCTTCAATGCTCATGGTGAGGTGCAGGCATGTCAAGTTCATGACCTAATGCTTGATCTTATTATATCCAAGTGCAAAAAGGAAAACTTCATTACTATAATTGATAGGAACTTCACCATGATTGGAGCACTGGAAGTTCGTCGGATCAGCCATCAGTTTCATAACAGAGACATAGCCCTGGTATTTGAGAGGATGAGTCAATCACAAGTTCGGTCATATAACTTCTTCCCTGCAGCTGACTGCATGCCTCCGCTTTCGAAGTTTGAGCTCTTGAGAGTTTTGGACATGGACCAGCTGGACTCATATAGATATATGCGACCAGAATCTACGTGCCTTGATTTATCTTCTATAAATCACCTTTTTCTGCTGAGGTATCTGAGAGTCGCGGGCTTTCGTTTGGTGCTGCCAAAGAAGTTTGGGAAACTGAAACATTTGATGACTCTAGATATTGAATCCACAATATTGTGCCCCATGGACCAATTCTCAGATTTTACTTCCTTGTCATCTTTAAGGCATCTCACTCTTCCAAAACGAGTTGGAAATCTAGTGCGGATAAATGGGCTTAGCAAGCTGTGCAACCTACGCACACTGATCTATTTTTGCATCGGGACTAGTAATTCGTAGAGTGTATCAGAGATCTTGGTGATCTGACCAGTCTTAGGGAGCTTATTATGATTTATTACTCTTGGCCAGGTGACGTAGAAGATAATCCTGACACAATACTGGCTGCCTCTCTTGACAAGCTTGGGAACAGCAACCTCCGTCTTCTGTATTTTCATAAGTATCAGTTTTATGGCAGGCCCCTCTCAACACAGTTCTGGAGTAATTTCATCACACGTCCAAAGCATCTGCAGAGGCTTCGTTTGGACGGACATATAATACCCAAGGTCCCAAATTGTATTGTGCATGCTGACAGGTTGGCCTATTTGGAAGAACTACGAGTCCAGGAGCTCGGGCGTGATGGCATCCAGGTTCTTGGACAGTTGCCCTGCCTCATGTACCTCGAGTTAAGAGCTAAAACAATCCTAGAGAAAAACATCATTATCCACCCAAACACATTCCCTAGCCTGAAGCATTTCGATTTCTCTTGTCAGCTATCGTTCCTCACTTTTGAGCCATCCGCGATGCCACGGCTACAGATACTGAACATAGATCTTGATGCTCGTGAAGGTACAATGCAACTGCAGAGGGAAGTCCAGTTGGTGGCATCGAGAACCTTGCTAGCCTTGAAAAGATCTACACTGCCAGAAGCTGCTCAATAGTAGATGGCGGTGGTGGTGGTGGATGTGGGGGAACACCTCCACGACCTCATCCTCTTTCTCTTTCATACATCTGACATCCAACATAAATATTCAAAATTTAGAGATTTTTCAAGCCATACGCACTTATAGAGATATAGAATACATTCTGAAAATTTTATGGACGAGTTCCAACATTAGTAGCTCGGTAAAATAGTTATATCTCAAGTTTCAGATATCCAAAAGAGGCATTCTTTACATGGTTGAAAAGCTTAAGAAATTATCTACAACTTTTATTCAGACCACATGCCCAGATTCTGTCGTTAGGTTTATCAAAAATAGGACACAACCGAAACTATTCCAGATTTCAGACTGCGCATAAACTTCAACTTAAAACAACTATATCTTTCAAACCAGATTAGGTATAGGGGTGATTCTAGAGTAATTAGAAAGATACTTAAGTCTAGTTGCTTTCATAAAAATTTCATAATTTTTTATTGAGTAGATTTGGATTGGCATTGAGATAAGGGCAGACTGGTCCAAAAAATAGATTCGAGAGAACATGGTATACCAAACCCAACTATTTATTTATTAACTCAAACTTTAATATTCTTAACTATGGAACTTGCGGACATGCCCATAAAGTTCCAGCACTCATTACAAAAATCTAACTCACACATAAACATAATAATAAATCAACTAGGCACACCAAAGTTCATACCGCACTACTAGACTCAACTTGACCCATGCTACTAACATCTTATTACATAGAAAGGAACTCCAATACCTATGGGAGAAATTCATGGGGAAGCTCCTCGTAGATCCTTGGCAGGTTGAGGCACACCATTTGCTTATCTATCACTTGTCGGTATCTCTTAAGGGTCACCTCCTGTGCCTTCAACTGATCTTCCAGTCGTCGATTCTTGTCTACTAATTCACAGGCATAGTACACCATCACTTGAGTAGTGAAATCCGTGCCTTCAGGGTCCATTATTGCCCATCCCAAGTCAGGATGCTGGTGAGGGGGGAATCGGTATTGGTCTCCCTTCATATCATCAAGGCGACGACCATGGAGACCCATGCAGGCTACAACGGCTGCATCTTCTATGCTATCTTCCATAGTGGCACAGTAAGCGTGATGCGCATAGTTCGAGTCCAGCTAGTAGGCTTCCTTCTGTTCATCTCTGATGGAGATGCACACCCTAGTCTTCCAATAAGTGTCCTCCAGAGGATGCGTGTGCTCATTGCAGACGTACTCCACAGCTGTGTCCCAATCACCGTAGTAAGTCTGAAGAATCCCCATAAGTCAGTGATACGAGGCGGAATATTTACACCCTGGCTTGTACCAGACCTTCGTAGTCCATCCCAGGAGAGGGATCGGCTCATCCTCTTGAACGGCGTCATCCTCATCCTCATCATCAGACAATGCAACGACCTCCACTTCTTCGGGTTCTTCTTCAGACTCTTCCTAGAATGGCGCCGGCGTAGGTGCAGGTGCTAGTGAATCAACTTCTTGCTCCTGGGGTTCCTCCTCCTCATGTGGCTCTATGGACTCATACAAGCCACGAGGCGGGTAGTAGCCTCCGGTGTTGATGCGAGCGGTCTTATTGGCACGAGACATCTACAGAATTAGATTTAGTCAGATTAAAAGCAATACTTTTTATAACAGAGGTAGGCAAAAAAAAGCATAAAATTTAGCAAATAACAAGGGTGAGATGGGAAGCATAAAATGAGTGAAGCAAAAGAAGCTAAGACGACCATTGCTAACTAGGCTTGCATCCTACAGTCAACACGGCTCTGATACCAATTTGTCACACTCGATTTTAAGGATAAAATAGGATGCATAATCTTATGTGCGCCCAGAGATCAGTCACACACATAAGCCAACAAATTATAAATAGTATCATCACAAGTGTTTATTACATCACGAATAATAAGACAGAGTCTTCACATAAATATAGCGGAAGTATAAAGATAAATCTCTCGAGGAAGTTCTATATCTTAGGGACATCAACTAGTTGACCACAAGTCTAGTATTCCTTAGGAAAGTCGTCATTACCATAGCCATCTGTTACCCATCCTGGATTTTTATCCAAATAATGAAAATAGACAAGCGTAAGTACATGTCGTACTCAACAAGTGTAACATGGGGTTCATAAGGCTCAAAAGGCTTAACACAGGTTTAACAACATTCAACTTTTAATTGTCACAATTTTAGCATAAGAGTAGCGCCAAGTTGTTTCAATCCCAAGATAAAACACATGATCAATGTAAACATGAATAATGAATAGCATAAATAGATAATTCTTAGTGATCATGTATTCCATAAGGGTCCAAGGCCTCCCGTGACCGTGAGCACAGCTGATATACCAGTTTTACACTCTGCAGAGGTTGTACACTTTCACTGTGAGTCGTGATACCCATATGCCCGGGTTAATTACTCTCAAAACACTTCCAAGGTGAGCAGGCAGGGGTCACTATGAAGCCTTTCAAAGGTTCGTCTAAAAGTTAGGGCCATTAGATGCACTCGGCAAACAGATGTAGAGCCCCCCTTCCCGATGGCACAATGACGCGTAGCCTATACTCAAGGGGACAGAGGCCGCACTATACCCGATTCTTACGCCAATAAAGATAACCTCTAACAAGCTAGAAAAGGTTCTCATACTGAGCTAAAGCCAGAGCCATGTAGCCCTCACAGCTGTACTGTAAGTCCCGGATGTTCGCTTATAGATAAGTCCTTAGGGAGAGGAATCTAAAGCATTTAGAAAGTAGCTAAATACTCCAGCCCCCTGGTTCCAAGTTGCTAAAAAGTCATGTTTTAATGTTTATTACATATACCATTAGTCAAGTTACAAGATCATGGTTTAATTGAGCACTAGCAAAGCTACCCAATGCATATCCCATAGGAGACATGGTATAAGTTCAATTCTAGAGAATCCCTATCAAGGTGACACATGCATTCATAAATTAAATATGTTAAAGTTGATAGGAAACAAGGATGATCCCATGCTATACTTGCCTTGAACAAAATGCTCCTGCTGATCCTACTCGTCAAAGTAGTACTCTTGATCACTCACGAATTGCTCACCGTCTATACTCGATAATCACAACAACATACAAGCATCTAGAAGCAATCATGCATAGCAAACAAAAGCTATAGATTAGAATAGTATACCAACAACATAAAATCAAGATGAAAAGTTTGTAAAATGAATCTACGTCTCGCTATGAACACACAGACACAGACGCGAAGATCACAAAAATCAGAGCTAAAACGAAGAAGTTACGAATTAAACAAGATTTCCTTTAGTAAAATAATAGATTAAATCTAACCTCAAATTTTAAAAGTTGAAAAATATACTTAATAGTAGTATAAACATGTAGATTACTCAATTATGAGCCTAATACAACTTGAACGGATCAAATTGGAGTTAAAACGGAGATTTGATGGCTAAAACAAGATTAGTGGCAAAACTGTAATAGTTAAAACTCAATATTCGAATTTAAATAAATAAAATCAGATTTTAAACCGAACCAGGGACAGCAGCCATGAAAACGAAGAAATGCAGGGGCTCTTTAACAAAATTGCAGGGACGGCGGGTTGAGATCCAAATAATTATAAGGGTCTTTTTTTAAAATGACAGACGAAGGGGTATCTTAAGATCTGGACTGTTGGATCAGAATCGGACGGCGCAGATCAGATCAGAGGGGAGGGAAAACGGCCGGTGAGGACGACGGTGATCTCCACGGCGGCGCCATGATCGAAGATGGCAGCGCGTATGAAACATGGCCTACGGACCACGGATTCACGAGCCGAAGACACCGGGAGAGAGAGGAGATGACGGCGAGCTTGGCTTGGTAGCTTACCTCGGCTTGAAACGAACGAGAGCAGCGTGGTGCTCGGCGAGGCGGGCGGAGATGGCGGCGGTGCTAGGGTTAGCATGGTTCGATGCAATGCGAGGGCAGCTGTAGCTTCGAAGCTTGGGACGGGAGCAGCACAATTAAAAGGTCTTAATGGCTAGAGGGGGTGAACAGCCTAATAAAAATTTCTACAACAACACTTAACAAAATGTTAGACAATTACGAGGCAAAGCAAGAGTTGCGCTAGCCTACTCAAAATGCAAACCACCTACCACAATTCTAGTTTAGATGGAATATATCCACACAATAGCTATATCACTACTCTAAGTTAGTGTGCTCTCAAAAGCTAACTAAAGAGCCACACTAACTAAACTAACAAGCTCTCACAACTAGTTACACTAAAGAGCTTAACAACTAGTTTGCGGTAATGTAAAGAGTAGGCAAGAAGGTTATACCACCGTGTAGATGTATGACCAATCAATCACAAGTGTGGATAACAATGAAGACCAATCACCTCAGAATCAA